GAGCCCAGGAGTTGGAGGTTGCTGTGAGCTACAATGCCACAGCACTCTACCCAGGGGGACAGCTTGAGGCTCTGTCTCAAAAAAAAAAAAAAAAAAAAAGGATAAATGAGTATTGAAGTGCATTTCTTTCTTTTTTGGGGGGGGCCTCCCGTGGTGGCTCACACCTGTAATCCTAGCACTCTGGGAAGCTGAGGAGTTTGAGACCAGCTTGAGCAAAAGTGAGACCTCATCTCTACTAAAAGTAGAAAAACTGAGGCAAGAGGATTGCTTGAGCCTGAGTTGGAGGTTGCTGTCAGCTGTGATGCCATGGCACTCTATCCAGGGTGTCAGCTTGAGATTCTGTCTCAAAAAAAAAAAAAAAAAAGGAAGTATGTTTCTTAAATCTGGATCTTGAAGGAATACTTAGTGTCAGTAATTGTGACCCTGGTTTCTTTTCGTTTCTGTTTGGTATATTTTGCCTTAGGGCTGAGTGAGATACTTAATGTGATTAGACTCATGATTCTGCAGTGCCTTCAGGACAGAGTTGGGTTTGTTCTATTCTGTCATACACACTTTTTTCTTTTGAGAAAGTGGCCAATGTATTAACTTATGGGCTACACTGGGATGCCGTGCCTCGACATTGGGACATGATCCCTAGGGCCTGCTCTGTACTATTTGTTAAAGATTCTCCCTTCTCAGGTTCTTTTTTTTTTTTGAGGAGCCTCAAGCTGTCCCTCTGGGTAGAGAGGCGTGGCATCACAGCTCACAGCAACCTCCAACTCCTGGGGTCAAGCGAGTCTCCTGCCTCAGCTTCCCGCGTAGCTGGGACCACAGGTGCCCGCCACAACGCCCGGCTATTTTTTGGTTGCAGCTGTCGTTGTTTGGTGGTCCAGGCTGAATTCGAACCCACCACCTTGGGTGTACATGGCTGGTGCCTTAGCCACTTGAGCCACAGGCGCCTCTCCTCTCCTCAGGTTTTTGTAACGCTTTCACCATTCTGACAGAGACTTAAAATTCACTTCTATTATCCTATCAGATATTTCCATTTTGAAGATTGTGTATGTGGAAGCAGTCCCATATACTTTAATCTCTCTCTTCCTTTTCTCCAGGAAGAATACAGAAATTCCATGCCTGCATCCAGTTTTCAACAGCAAAAGCTGCGTGTCTGTGAGGTCTGTTCAGCCTACCTTGGTCTCCATGATAATGACCGACGTCTGGCAGACCACTTCGGGGGCAAGTTACACTTGGGGTTCATTCAGATCCGAGAAAAGCTTGATCAGTTGAGGGTACGTTAATATATTATGTTCTGGTAAGAGTCTTGCTGTTGCAGTTGTCTTCACATTTCTTTGATTAATTATTATTATTATTTATTACTATTTGTAGACAAGGTCTTACTCTGTCGTTCAGGATAGAGTGCTGTGGCAGCCTAGCTCACTGCAACCTCAAATTCCTAGGCTCAAGCAATCCTTCTGCCTCAGGATCCCACATAGTTGGGACTACAGGTGTTGGCCACAATGTCTGGCTCCTCTTTCCAGTTTTAGTAGAGACAGGGCCTAGTCCTTGCTCAGGTTGATTTCAAACTCCTGAACTTAAGGGATCCACCCACCTTGACCTCCCAGAGTGCTAGGACTGTAGGCGTGAGCCACTGTGCCAGGGCTGCCCCAGATTTTTACAATGTAATGAAAAACTTTTTTTCACATATTCTCCTTTGATTGCAAAGTTTTAAAAATAAAGGTATTCCTGTTTCCTAAGAGTTTTTCTTAGATTTTTATTTTTATTTTTTTATTTTTTTTTGAGACAGA